TCACAGCTCTCTTAATTTCAGCGACTATTGCAAGATTTTCTGCCCGATTTTTACTTTGGCTTTGCAGTGCTGCTTTTGAATCGGTGCAAATCACTGCACCATTAGTGTTCCGTTCAAGAAACCTTAACGCCATTACAATGGCAATTAGCTCTGCTTGCGTTGAAGAGGCATAGTTCTCAATACGTGCTTTTTCTTCATTTCTGCGTTGGAAAGTATTATCCTTGATTACCGTGCATGCTGCACCAGCCCTGCCATTGACAGGATTAGATGACCCGTCAGTGTAGATTTGATCTAGTTCATCTCCGGCTTCTTTATAAATTTCCTCGAGATACTTGTGCCTCATTTCTTGTGGTATCATGTTGGATTTTTTCGTTGCCATTTCATTGATGATGATCTTGAATGAGTCATCCTCCCAGGGAGGTAACTCTCTACAGGCAGGAGCTCACGGGCTTGCTCAAGCAACCTTGATAGCTGTAACAGAACCCATGAGCACCACACCAGAAATAAATGTCACTTTGATATCTCCAGAGTCAAACTAAATCTGGGCAAACACTCCATGCAAATAAGGACCCAGTCTATGGAACTCCCTCTCTAATAAATTAAAAAATTATCCAACCTATGCCTTATTCTACCGTATAACCAAAAAGTACCTAATTTGATCTTCATAGTTTTCTACCATGTGCTTCAAACTCACATTGTATTTACCTAAGTTTAGTTACAGGATGAGAGCTACGCTCGTGGTGTCCCGTCTTCCCAGCACTCTTTGTCATATAACGCTTTGAAACTACTGACGGTCTTGGCCTCCACCACCTTCTCACCTAACTTGTTCCAACCGTCTACCACTCTGTTTGCGTAAGTGAATTTTCTTATATTTCTTCGGCAACTGTGTTTAGCTAGTTTAAATCAATGACCTCTTGTTTTTAAAGTTCCAGGTCTCAGGAAATCTTCCCTATCGATTTTATCAATTCCTGTTACTATTTTGTATGTAGTGATCATATCACCTCTTTTTCTTCTGTCTTCTAGTTTTGGCATATTTAATGCCTCTAACCTCTCCTCGTAGCTCTTGCCCTTCATTTCTGGGAGCCACTTAGTAGCATGTCTTTGCACCTTTTCCAGTTTGTTGATGTGCTTCTTAAGATATGGGCACCCACACAACCGCTGTATATTCTAGCTTTGGCATAACAAAAGTCGTGAACAATTTATTTAGTATATCACCATCCATGTATTTAAAAGCAATTCTGAAGTTAGAAAGTGTAACATAGGCTCCTCGCATAATATTCTTTATGTGGTCCTCAGGTGATAGTTTTCTATCTAGAACCACCCCTAGATCTCTTTCTTTATCAGAATTCTTTAAAGCTTTCTCACATAATATATAGGTTGTGTGGATGGGGTTGTACAATGGTACCTCTGTTTTCGTAGTTAATCCGTTCCCAGAGAAGGTACGAAAACCAAAAATTATGAAAACAATAACAAATTTTCCCATAAAAAATAATGTAAATTTAAATAATCCATTCCACACCCCCAAATATATTAACTTAAAAATACTTTTCATGCAGAATACTACTCATATTTTCATATACAAAACAATCAGGTATATATATTTAAACCATAAATGAAATAAGTGAACATTTAACTGCACTTGTCCTTTACTGGGGACTCTTGTTGGCGCATGGGAGACGTGAAGCGGGAGGGAGGAGCGGTGTTGGTGTATGGGGTGGGGGAGGAGGGAAGAGGGGGAGGGGATGGAGGAGGTGGAGAGACCATCCCCTTTTGCTTGCCTTAAGCGCATTCATATCTGCATCACTGGTTTCAGAATTCTTTTCACACATTTCACTGCCTCTGTTATGTGGCAGCCAGTCAGAACAAGTCAGTTACAGTAACAACATGTCAGTCAAGTAGTCAGTTAAGACCAGTCTCAGGCAGTCATAACCAAAGGCAGTCAAGCATTCACAATTGTAGTATTAACTGGTTAGGCATATACGGTCAGTCACATATTAACCGTCAATCAATCATTCACAGTCAATCAGGCATTCACAGTCAATCAAGCATTCACAGTCAATTAGCCATTCACAGTCAACTCAGAATCGGGGGGGGGGGGGGAGTGTTGGGGGTTATACAATGTAACTTTGGTTATTTCAATCAACCTGATACAAGCTTACCGTCGAACAGAGACGCCAACCACTCCCTGACAGAACAAACAGCCGACCTCAGCAGCCACACTCTGCTACCGTCGGTCGACCAGCAATGGACAATGGAGTGTTTGCAATTATTTGGGAGATAACCCTGATAAGTGTCTGGTTCTGGTAGAGGAGTTCAGCATCACCTTTATTCAGGGGTACGACTCACACTGCGTATTTGTCATGAGTACATACAGACTCTCGAGCCGCCATGACTCCCCGCACTCTCTTTACTGTAGGACGATCTCTCAATCCCCCTTAGTTAGTTATAGTCCACTGTCACCCAAGTTATTGCCGCGTCTCTCTCTCTCTCTCTCTCTAGCCAGGAAACCTCACCGGGACAAGACCAAAAGTCAGCTAACAAATATTACATTTAATACATAAGAACATACACAATATACATACGGGAATAGTTATAAAACAATGCAATCTCCGAGGCTGCTACCAACTGATAACACTTCAATATCGCCTTATCTTTACTTCCAATAACAATAAATCTTTACTTTTACCTCCAATATCGCTCCCTTTACTGCAATACATGGCACATTAAATATTCACATATTTCCTACTCTTCGTAAAGCATCAATCTCTCACCTTGCACTGCGCCTTTCATGCCAAAACGCAATCACGCACTCCCTTAAACATCAACACGTCCATAAGATCCTCTGTTCCTTTACTCACAGTCTCCAAGTACAATCATCAATCTGGGTCCTCATAATATCACACAAGGTACTCTCGCAGTTCCTCCAATCAGCTGCACATGAAGTCCTCTTTGAATGTCAGTGAAGCTCCTCCACCGGCTTCACACAAGATACGTGTAGCTCCCAACACTCCTTGAAGTTTCACTATGTCACTCGAGTTCCACTCCTCAACTCGAAGTCCAATACCATCTTGCAGTTCAGCTTATACTTCTCCTCCGGTACGAAGTTCACTAACTTCTCCCACATAAACGTTTCAGTTCTCCCACACAAACGTTACCTCTCTCCCACACAACGTTGCAGTTCTCCCACACAACGTTGCAGTTCTCCCACACAACGTTGCAGTTCTCCCACACAACGTTGCAGTTCTCCCACACAACGTTGCAGTTCTCCCACACAACGTTGCAGTTCTCCCACACAACGTTGCAGTTCTCCCACACAACGTTGCAGTTCTCCCACACAACGTTCTCCCACACAACGTTGCAGTTCTCCCACACAACGTTGCAGTTCTCCCACACAAACGTTGCAGTTCTCCCACACAACGTTGCAGTTCTCCCACACAACGTTGCAGTTCTCCCACACAACGTTGCAGTTCTCCCACACAAACGTTGCAGTTCTCCCACACAAACGTTTCAGTTCTCCCACACAAACGTTTCAGTTCTCCCACACAAACGTTGCAGTTCTCCCACACAAACGTTTCAGTTCTCCCACACAAACGTTTCAGTTCTCCCACACAAACGTTGCAGTTCTCCCACACAAACGTTGCCGTTCTCCCCACACAAACGTTGCAGTTCTCCCACACAAACAGCAAGATTCGTAGCTCGAGGGCGTTCAACTGCGGCCCTCCAAGATGGCGTCCTCTAAGACATCCAACAAAGTGTTTCTTTAAGACTGCCTCACAGCTCCTCTGCTCCTGACTTGAGTACACTAAGTCACCCAACTGGGCGACTTCAGGCTCAGGCTTCACACAGAAACGCCTGCTTGCTTCCTTCCTCTTGAAGAAGCCACACCATCAGAGTTCCACAAAGGCACGACCAACACTCACTCCCAGGTCTCCTCTTAATTATCTAAACCACAGGGAAATGGTGTACAAGTCCCCAACAGCTTCCTCACACTTGCAGTCAAGTAGCCTTCACTTCACCCCTGACACAGGGAACTATATTATTCCTCCTTCAGGAGAATCAACGAAGTACTACCACCTCTGACGACTGCTGTGACTCAAGTGAGGTCATGACGTCCGGCTAGTATCACTTCACGTCACCAAAGTATCGACATCTCATTTCATGTCACGTATTTAAATGCTCGTCCTCTGCTAGTATTCTTAAATCATTCAAAGACGTTTATTAAATATTCAATATATACATCTTTCCTCTGACCTCTCAATCAGGTCTGGAAGGCAGAATAACTCTTCTAAGGGTAGACTCGTTCCACCCAGGCTACGTGGGGTCATAACATCTACCATTCACAGTCAATCAGCCACTCAAAGTCAATCAGCCACTCACAGTAGCAACCAGTCAGTGAAAAATAAAAGTTTAATGACAGGCACTCAGGAAGTCTGCCTCAGCTGGTAAAAAAGAAGACCAACGTATTAATAAAAAAATGAATACCGTCCATTTGGCTGGGAGGAATACAGCTGGAAGAGTCCGGTGTGGGGGATGAGGGGGTGGAGGGTGTAGGAGTGGGCGGGGGGGGGGGATAGAGGTAGTGGGGAGGGTATGGGATGGGGGGATGGAGGAAGTGGGGAGGGTGACTAGCCCTGCCAACCATCTCACTACTGCCTGCCAGCACACTGACACCTGCTAGTCCACTAGGCTGCTGCCAGCCTATCCACCTACTTTACCGCCCGCCCCTCTGTTATCCGTCCATCCAGTCCCCACACCATCCATCCACCAAGTCCCCTCACCTTCCATCCATCCAGTCCCTACCATCCATCCTGTTGTCCTACCAAATACAATAATCAGGCGGGATGGTCACTAGGCGGGAGACCTTGGTAAACTGTGCGCGCCTCGTCCCGGCCCCTCGTCCCGGCCCCTCGTCCCGGCGCCTCGTCCCGCCTCGTCCCGGCCCCTCGTCCCGGCGCCTCGTCCCGCCTCGTCCCGGCCCCTCGTCCCGGCCCCTCGTCCCGGCCCCTCGTCCCGGCCCCTCGTCCCGGCGCCTCGTCCCGCCTCGTCCCGGCCCCTCGTCCCGCACAACATAACCACGTGCTTGGTGGACCTGGACGAGCATAAACGAATTCTGAACAACGAGCACCGAGACTAACAACGAGCACCGAGACTAACAACGAGCACCGAGACAAACAACGAGCACCGAGACTAACAACGAGCACCGAGACAAACAACGAGCACCGAGACAAACAACGAGCACCGAGACAAACAACGAGCACCGAGACAAACAACGAGCACCGAGACTAACAACGAGCACCGAGACAAACAACGAGCACCGAGACAAACAACGAGCACCGAGACAAACAACGAGTACCGAGACAAACAACGAGACAAACAACGAGCACCGAGACAAACAACGAGCACCGAGACAAACAACGAGCACCGAGACAAACAACGAGCACCGAGACTAACAACGAGCATCGAGACAAACAACGAGCACCGAGACAAACAACGAGTACTGAGACAAACAACGAGCACCGAGACTAACAACGAGCACCGAGACTAACAACGAGCACCGAGACAAACAACGAGTACCGAGACAAACAACGAGACAAACAACGAGCACCGAGACAAACAACGAGCACCGAGACTAACAACGAGCACCGAGACTAACAACGAGCACCGAGACAAACAACGAGTACCGAGACAAACAACGAGACAAACAACGAGCACCGAGACAAACAACGAGCACCGAGACAAACAACGAGCACCGAGACAAACAACGAGCACCGAGACTAACAACGAGCACCGAGACTAACAACGAGTACCGAGACTAACAACGAGTACTGAGACAAACAACGAGCACCGAGACGAGACCGAGACTAACAACGAGCACCGAGACAAAAACGAACCGAGACAAACCGAGACGAGACAAACAACGAGCACCGAGACACGAACAACGAGACAAACAACGAGCACCGAGACAAACCGAGACCAAACAACGAGCACCGAGACAAAAACGAGACAAACAACGAGCACCGAGACAAAAACAACGAGTACAACGAGACAAACAAAGACAAACAAAAAGAGCACCGAGACAAACAACGAGCACCGAGACACAAACAACGAGCACCGAGACAAACAACGAGCACCGAGACAAACCGAGACAAACAACGAGCACCGAGACAAAAACAACGAGACAAACAACGAGCACCGAGACAAACAACGAGTACCGAGACTAACAACGAGTACCGAGACAAACAACGAGCACCGAGACAAACAACGAGCACCGAGACAAACAACGAGCACCGAGACAAACAACGAGTACTGAGACAAACAACGAGCACCGAGACTAACAACGAGCACCGAGACTAACAACGAGCACCGAGACAAACAACGAGTACCGAGCCAAACAACGAGACAAACAACGAGCACCGAGACAAACAACGAGACAAACAACGAGCACCGAGACAAACAACGAGACAAAAACAACGAGTACCGAGACAAACAACGAGCACCGAGACAAACAACGAGTCCCGAGACTAACAACGAGCACCGAGACAAACAACGAGCACCGAGACAAACAACGAGTACCGAGACTAACAACCACCGAGACAAACAACGAACGAGACAAACAACGAGTACCAAACAACGAGCACCGAGACAAACAACGAGCACCGAGACAAACAACGAGCACCGAGACAAACAACGAGCACCGAGACAAACAACGAGCACCGAGACAAACAACGAGTACCGAGACAAACAACGAGTACCGAGACAAACAACGAGTACCGAGACAAACAACGAGCACCGAGACAAACATTACGAGACGAACCGAGACAAACAACGAGCACCGAGACAAACAACACCGAGACAAACAACGATTCTAAACATAGACAAACAACGAGTTTCGAGAAAACAACGAGCACTCTTTCTAAGATCCGAGATTATGTACCCCGCCCTGCCCTGGTGACTCTCTATTACTCCCTTATCTATCCATATCTCAACTATGGTATTTGTGCTTGGGGTTCTACTACCCAAAATCACTTACGTCCTCTAATTACTCAACACAAAGCTGCTATTAGGACAATATCCAACTCTGGCCCCAGACATCACTCGGTACCCCTACTCAAATCTCTGAATATGTTAGACATTAAGTCACTGCACATTCTCTCATGTGTATTATACATATATAAAACGCTAAACTATAATGCCAATCCTGATCTCAAAAGCTTCATAGAAGGTTGTAACAGAACCCATGAGCACCACACCAGAAATAAATACAGTTTTGATATTCCTAGAGTACGACTTAATCAAACCAGAAATGCTCTACAAATCAAGGGGCCCAGAATGTGGAATGACCTTCCCAACCATGTTAAAGACTGTACCTCTCTCAACCAGTTTAAGTTAAAAACGAAGCTATACCTAATAAATTCCCTGTAACCTACCTTACCCCTCTGTTGTTAAACCCATGTATGTTTTTTGTTTTTCAAATCAACGCTGTTTGAATGTAATTTTCTGTAATATGTTTGTAATTGTATTTGTGCTGCTTTTTCAACAATGTTCCTCCCTCTTTTACCTCTATTTTTATTTGTACTCAACACATTTTATTCTTTTTACCCATTAGTTTTAAGCTTTAGTCATTAGTGTTTTTTCCTGCCCGAAACGCTTTGCGTAATAGTGGCTTTAGGCATTGTATGTACTAGCTCTATCTATAAAGCCAACAAACTTTGTAAAATCTCTTTATGTATGTACCTTTACCTAAATAAAAATTATTATTATTATATTATTAAATTATTATTATTATTATTATTATTATTGTTATTGTTATTATTATTGTTATTATTATTATTATTATTATTATTGTTATTATTATTATTATTATTATTATTATTGTTATTATTATTATTATTATTATTATTATTATATTATTATTATTATTGTTATTATTATTATTATTATTATTATTATTATTATTATTATTATTATTATTATTATTATTATTTGTCACTAACGGTGGCGCATCAATATTGATAATATGGCAGAGGTTGGAAGTTACCGATGTCTTCTGTTTGTGTCAGGATAAGGATAAAAGTTAACAAATGTGTGGAAACAGACTCAGGATGGCAAAGATGAGGAGTTGTGTTGATGGTGGTAGAGAAGTGTTGCTGCTCTATGAAAAGTGTGTAGTGTAGTCAGGAGACTGAGTTTATGAGTCTACGTATGTTTGGAGTTAGTCGCAATTCAGAGAGGTTAGGTAAGTTACGGTACATTAAGTAACATGTGTATAAGGTTATGTCTGGTTGGGGTAGGTTAGTTGAAGATTGTGTTTATGTTGTCGTATTTCAGATCGTTACGTCTGGGATGTGATTGCATCGGTCTTCTTTGATGTGCCAGTAGTAGTGCAGTGTTGTTTATGGGTTAATTTGCTGACAAACATCACAAAGCACCGCAGCTCAGTATTGAGCATACAAACTTTTGAACATGAACAGCTAAGGATGACAACAAGAGACAAGACTCTGGGACACAAAGGTTATGAGTAAGGGCAGACAAGACTCAGGTACACAAAGGTTACCAGTAAGGGGAGACAAGACTCTGGGACACAAAGGTTATGAGTAAGGGCAGACAAGACTCTGGGACACAAAGGTTATGAGTAAGGGCAGACAAGACTCTGGGACACAAAGGTTATGAGTAAGGGCAGACAAGACTCTGGGACACAAAGGTTATGAGTAAGGGCAGACAAGACTCTGGGACACAAAGGTTATGAGTAAGGGCAGACAAGACTCTGGGACACAAAGGTTATGAGTAAGGGCAGACAAGACTCAGGTACACAAAGGTTATGAGTAAGGGCAGACGAGACTCTGGTATATTAATACACTCACCAACACAGGTTAGTGACAACTGTTATGAGCCACCAGTCCCTCATAATATCCACCCCACCCAGTATGAGAGTTATAGTACACCTATTCCATACTTATACTATGTTTGGACTGCCTTATAACCCATTAATATGCAATACAGCATGTGTAGTTAGGTAGGTAGTACTGGATTTATAAGTGGTTTCAGGCTCTCCAGACAACAGTATCAACAAACACTCCATGATTTGCTCATCATCAGCTCTACTGAACTGCCTGAAGAACAAGAAGGTCAAAACTGTTCAAGTGTAGCCCATCAACTGATTACATCAGAGATAAACTTTAATGATACTATTAAATCTATCAGAATAGATAAAAACAATCACCACAGCACCAGGCAGATGCTCACTAAACTAGCTTATCCCAATGATAAGTAAGACCTCATGCAATCAGCTACAAATATAAAACCAATCTTTATATTAATGAGTGCCTTACCAAGCAGCGTTGATCCTCCTCTACAGACAGCATCATATTATATTAATGAGTGCCTTACCAAGCAGCGTTGATCCTCCTCTACAGACAGCATCATATTATATTAATGAGTGCCTTACCAAGCAGCGTTGATCCTCCTCTACAGACAGCATCATATTATATTAATGAGTGCCTTACCAAGCAGCGTTGATCCTCCTCTACAGACGGCATCATATTATATTAATGAGTGCCTTACCAAGCAGCGTTGATCCTCCTCTACAGACAGCATCATATTATATTAATGAGTGCCTTACCAAGCAGCGTTGATCCTCCTCTACAGACAGCATCATATTATATTAATGAGTGCCTTACCAAGCAGCGTTGATCCTCCTCTACAGACAGCATCATATTATATTAATGAGTGCCTTACCAAGCAGCGTTGATCCTCCTCTACAGACTGCATCATATTATATTAATGAGTGCCTTACCAAGCAGCGTTGATCCTCCTCTACAGACAGCATCATATTATATTAATGAGTGCCTTACCAAGCAGCGTTGATCCTCCTCTACAGACAGCATCATATTATATTAATGAGTGCCTTACCAAGCAGCGTTGATCCTCCTCTACAGACAGCATCATATTATATTAATGAGTGCCTTACCAAGCAGCGTTGATCCTCCTCTCCATATTATATTAATGAGTGCCTTACCAAGCAGCGTTGATCCTCCTCTACAGACAGCATCATATTATATTAATGAGTGCCTTACCAAGCAGCGTTGATCC